GTGTCTGGAGCCGACTGAGGAAAGGAAAGATAGGTAGATGGGAGTGGGGTGGGGGGCTGGGGCAGACTGGGCTTCCATCCTAAGTGAAGTGAGGAGCTGCCGTAGGGTTGTGAGTGGAGTGACAGATCTGGCTTACATTTTAACGTGATCCCTCTGCATCATGGGCTGAGACTAAGCAGCTCGGAGGTGAGGGCAGAGGCAGGACAACCCGTCAAAGAGTGGGATAGCAATCCAGGAAGAGACAGTGGCTTGGATGAGGGTGCTGGTAGTGGAGTGGGGAGAGGAGATATATTCTGAACATATTTTCAGTTTAGAGGAACAATTAACAGTAATGTATTAAGAGGAGGTCTAGTGTCATGGTGGTTACTTGAACCTGACGTTGAAGGATAGGGGGGATTTGAAAAGGTGGCAGAATTAGGAAAGGCATTCCAGGACATGGTAGGCTTAGAGGCATGAGTGAGTCCAGCTTATTCTTGGGACAATGTGATTAGTCCAAGTAGAAGAAGGCAGATCATTCTCTGGGGTGTGGAGGGAAATAAAATACACAAAGTGGAAACAGATTATACAGAGCTCTGAAAGCTAGGGAGGGGTGTTTAGACATCACAACATTCACTATGGTGCACTATTGTACGTAGTAGGTGCTCAGTACATATTAGAAGTCTGATAGGCTTTGAGGACCACATATCTGGCAGATTAGGCTGGAGGACTGCAAGGTTCTCATTTAGAAAGTCAGCTAAAACGCTGCACAAGAATCCCAGTGGGTGGGGCGCCTGAGTAGCTCAGTCAGTTAAGAATCCCAGTGGGAGGTCATTAGGGCTGGTCTACCTGTAGGTAATTGACAGTTGACTGTTTTAAATTTACTTTATAATGCAAACCATTCACCACTTGTGGGAACTTCAATCTTGTGTTGGCAAATCTCTTACCTGATAAAAATTACATGGGTCTAAAAAACTGTGTACTCAAATAACCACACGATCTTAATTCTGAGGTTATTGGAGTTGGACGGCAGTTGCTATCAGATGCATATGTAATTCCCGTGTCTCTAAATTAGTTACAGGTGCAAAACTGTATCTACAAAAAAAGGTGATCTAGTAGAGGTTTACAGAAACTTAGTTCCATCTAAATGAGTCTGATTCATTCACTATCACATATATTTTTGCAAATATTCAACACTAGTAGATGGACATGAGGCATTTACTGGACAACTTTCTTATGCCTAATTTAAGGGTGTCCAAAAGAAGCCAAAATAACAGAACCCATGTCAGTTCTGTTGATCTAATACAGTGAAGACATTTATTCTGCTCAGATTTCCTCTGATGCAAAGACTATATGCTTTATAAGGAGTTATGATGATTTTAGAATTTCCTAAGGGTTACCTCATTCAAGTTATAGGTGAGAATATTGACAAAGATAGTAATCTATGACAAACTATCAGAGCTATAAAAATTGTTTTCCATTTAATGACCTATGTTTTACACTGCAATGAACAGTTTAAATGGATAATTGCTGTCAGACAGCTTTCAAGACAAGTTGTATTCCTTAGGGATGCTGGGGGAAAATAAATATAAGAATTTTTTAAATGCTGTGTTTTCTTGTAAGCATCTAATATACATGACATTTGTTTCTGGTGTTTCCTATAATTCATAATTGGGAAGTACAAGAGAAACGATAGTTTTTGGAAACACAGCAAGGACATTCTGAGTCTGGAAATCTACCAAATCTACCAGGACCTGGTGGTCAGAAAAGAGATATGAACAGTTAAATCAGAGAAATAAATGATAAAATAGAGCCATACTAAAAAAATTAATATGGGCAATAGTAAAATTCTAGAAAAAGGCCCTGAATTATTACTAATGTGAGGTTATGAAATTGAGCTGTGTCAATTACCTAAATCTTCATCATAAAGAATATTATAATCTATGATAGTTTTTCAATGTCTCGGAGAAGAAGACGTGTAATCACTGCTTTCATTTAGGGCCAAAGAATGATTTCAGCTTTTGGAAATCCAATCTTTTCTGAAACAAACATTAATGAAAGTGGGAGGTAACTGCCCCATTAAAAAAAAAATCAGACAGAAAGTTGCTTTCTCTAAGTATGATTATATCCTTATCAAAACATTCATGGGAGATCATGGAGAAGCCTCATCTCACTCAAAAACTGCCACTTATTTTGATGCACAAAGAATTCTGCAGTTTCCCCCCACATATTCTCTAAAATGCTTCCAATTTAGGATATCATTATGTCTTCTCTTCCATCCATAAGTGATTAATACTAGAAGACCAAAACAATAAACTCTCTATAGGACTTCAGATGTGCTTTCGCAAATATTGTGTCATTTAATCCTTGCAATAGTCCTATATGTCTGTTGCTATATGTGGAAACAGAGGGGAGAGAGGATAAATGACTTACTCAAATTCACACAAAATGTACATGGCCAAGACAAGACTGGTAGTTACATTCCCTGATACTACCTGGGTCCCTTAAAACCTCTAGAAAGGTGAAAACTTTGGTCAATTATTTAAATGCTTCCAAATATATAGTTGCCTGGAGTCACAAAGACACAGTTTAAGTATCCCTCAATAAAAATGGCTGGCAATCAATCACTCACTCCTATCTCAGGAGAGGCGCTCGTTTCAAAGGATTGTCTATTGCAGCATTTATCATGTCTCCAAGGCATATTTCCATTGCTCAATCAGCTCCAAAGGACAAACATGTCATCATCTTTCAATGCTCTGGTGCAACACTTTAAAATTATAGAATTCACATAGGACTAAGTCTGGCACTAAAAGCAGGAGGCATATTCAGCTTGAGTTTGTGGAAGCTTCCCTTCAATCTTGCCAATTTTTACTAGTAGAAATGGTTTCAGAGCCAGCATGGGGTTACTTGGGGTTACTTAAGGAGCTCATGATGAAAATAGGGAAATAAGATAAAGGGGGGGGTCACAATGATAATGGAGCCCAGGAAAAAGTGCAGAAGTTCTCTTTGGGCATAGTGGCTAGATACATTTTTGAATCTCATGAATATGACCAATATAGCTTGGACATCTGGATCATTCACACTCAACAACCACTTTTTCTTCAAAGTAGCAACCAGCTACTTGCAACAACCCCCAAGCTCACCTTGCCTATAGTAAGGAAGAAGGAACACCTAAATTGATTATCGTATTAAAGCCAAATACCTAAACTCTACAGTGTTTCATCTCTGATGGCCTCAAATAGCTAATGATGATTATATGTCCAATTTCAAGTTTGTTTGTCTGTCTGTTTTGGCAAGGGTGCAGTAAACAGTGGGTATCTACAAAATGCAATTGAAGTTAACAACCATAGGTTTTTGGCCTTTAGGAATAATATTTTTAACAAAAAAACAACACTTTTGAATAAGAAGTAATCAGACACCATATAAACAAAAGTTAAATTATTTGTACAATATGTAATTTCTTAATTGCTAATAATTCTATTCTGTACCATGCTAATTAAGAAGAAAAGTACTGAGTTAGTCTTTTGGAGGGGATTTGACACTCAAAATAATTAAACCCCGGGCAAATTCAAGGCATAAACATATAGAGATTAGTACAGAATGAAAACTAACTTGATCACATAACTATCTCTTACCATAAACGGTATTTTTCCTCAGTTAACCTAAAATATTTGTTGCACTACATTCTGGACATATTCTTTGCAAACAGACAAAATTACCAAATTTTGACTCAAGAACTATTTCACAGTGTAACTAGGACATTCTGCCCTGATGTAGGCTAAATTAGTAACTGGAGAAAGATAGCAATAGTTTTTATGGCTTTTAGAAAAATAGAATAACAGATTTTTATATAATATAATGAAACCAAACTCCTATTTAAGAGGCTCAGATGACACATATATATATATACTGAATCAAATCATCATAGTAGAATGAAATAGTATTTCAGGAAATATTTTTCCTTAATTTTTAAACAGCCTAGTGTTTTAACAAAAAAATCTGTGAATAATATGTTCCAACTTCAGGCTTCCAGAAAAACTGAAACATTAAAATGTAAAGCCATTAATTTCAACAATGAAGCGACTTAACTGTAATGCTTTAGCACTTACATTATAAAACACAAATCACACTAGTTAACACAATCTATTTTTATGTGGTATCTATGAGAAAAAAAATAGAAATACAGAAATAAATATGAAGCAGTACAAAACAGAAGAAGCTGTGCTAAGAAACTCCAGCAGAAGGAGCTGTAGAAATGAAGAATTTACATTTTGCAATGGCCAAGAAAGGAATTTTGAAAAATGAGGTATCTGCTTGAATCTTATAGATCTGAGTACAAGTAATAGCTAATCAGTTACTTAGCATGCAATAGGCATTTAGGGACATTGTTTTCTTTATGTGTAAAATGAAATGCTTGGAATAGACATTCTCCAAGTCCCCACAATCTATTTGACAATGCATGAGGCACCATGCCAGGTATCCTAAGAAATATAGATTATTAAGTTGGTCCTACACTCTGGAAGCATACAATTCTTTGGGAGAGATAAAATGTACAAATATCTAGATTTCAAAGTAGAACTAAACACGCTGAGAGAGCTTTAAGAGGAATAAAAATGCTGTAGGGGGGATAAAAACTGCCTGAGAGATATGTACCACATAAGACTATAAAATGGGAAAAAGGGACCCCTCGGGTATTCTAAAAAGACCTTAAGTATATTTGGGAAACACATATAAACCCAGGAAATAAAAATGAATAGGATTTAAAAATATATAAATATACCCTTAATGCTTACAATTCAGGAAATGGGAGCCATGCACAGAGATAAATATGGATTAGTTTAGGTTTCTTTTTCAAAGTTCTGATGCTTGTAAGTGAACACTAACACAGCAAACTAGGCATTAAAAGTACCGGAGTATATACATCTCATATTAGAATATAACTTGGAAAACAAACTACAAGAGCAATTTTACCATTTCATAAATGCCCAAAGTAACCCAATAGCCATATCTGGAATTGACTTTACCTTGTGAAGTGCTTGCAGACAGTGTATCAGCAAAGGAATCGCTTTCTGGGTCAATAAGAGAATCTCCCAGAGTTTCACCCATAACAGCATGGAAGAGGGATTTGCTGTAATTCACACTGATATTTTGTCTATTTCTTGCAAAAGACCAATCCATTAAAAGAAAAGGACTTGCAGTAGTAGAACTTGTGAACACGACCAATGAGTTAAGACATCAGTTTCCAAATATTTCAGAGAGGTGGGAATAAATCCACAAAGGACCAGGCCTGAATTGGCTGGCACTGTCCTGCTGGAGAGCCAGCTGTGACAAATGTTGTGTCATAATGTTGCTCACTGCTTTGGCAAGACTTGGTACATTACAAGGAAAACATTGCCACACTGTCTCGCCAGTGACCCACATGTTCTGTGTCTTGTGAGGGGCATGAGTTGTACAGTATTTAGAGCTATCAGAGCAAAGAGATCATTCAGTTTTCGATTACTTCTTAAATGGGAGACTTTACATCTCTGGGTTATGAAATACCAGATAAACTTACTTGGACAAAGTTTTTTCTAGCTGCCTGTTCCTGGCGCAATCTCTAATCATATTATCTGAAGAAAACTACTTAATTCAAACATGTACTTGTATTTTAAAATTCGGCATTGGCATGCTACTGAAATGTTATTTTCTGAGGCATTTGTCCCATCCCTTGACAAAGGCTAAAATGATACAGACAAATTCTATAAGATTAACTGGTTGAGAGATACAGTTTAGATTTGCTCTATCAGGGTTTGCTTTTTAAAAACTCGATGATTAAGTTTATCCATCACTAGCAGAGGCAGTAATGCTGCACCAAGGTCTGAACGTAGCTGATGTTTAAATGATAAATGCCATGTCATAATAGAAAAAGTGGAGTTCTCTCTGAGAAGAATAATGCATTAGCAGAAAAAAAAAAAGACAGACTCACACTGATAGGTTGGCGAGGAACTGTGGTCAGTTTTGTAATCAGGAAAAAGCTGGCTTCTTGCTCAAGTCCTTTGCCCTTTCTGGCAAGAAGAAACACAAGCAGTGCCAAACTTCAGTGTGGAAGCTGGTCTCCACTTGTCCTATAAGTGGTCTGATAGAATTGCAGTGACTTGTGGATTTTTTTTTTTAAAGATTTTATTTATTTATTTGAGAGAGAGAATGAGAGAGAGCAAGCACATGAGAGGGGGG